TCTTATCTTGTCCGGACCTGCTGTTGTTCGATTCTTCACCGATGAAATGGCATATGGGATTTCGGAAGGGAGAACCGGTGGTACAACATATCCACCCTCTTTTATTTCATATGACAGGTGGTGCACGTGGCTACCGAAGAAATCTTAGTAGTATTCGTGGATGATTTTCCCCATTGCCTTTCTGGACGCTGTGAGTGTTCCGTCTCGGAGTCGGATGGCAATCATCTTGGTTTTGTAATTGGCGATGCTTCGGTGGGCTTTGCAAATGCTTTTTCCAGCCTTTGCAGCTTCGACCATTACTGCTGCTCCTCCCTCTTTAAGATCTTCTTTTATCGCCTGTCTGCATTGTTTTACAAGTTCGGACGTTAGCTAGCGATTGCCTGCAGCTCGTGCGATTCCGCGCTGGCGTCTCAGCTCGAGTGTTTCTAGAGACAGATGATCTTGGTGACTTTCGAACTCTGAGCTTTCATAGCGCTAACGTGAAGATGTTGAATGAGCCGATCGTATTCCTCGTCGATGTTATCGACAACGGCATCCTCCGAACATCCGACTATTAAATTAAATGAGTCCCACTTTACGGTGGTTCTGGGACATCGGTTTCTGAATTTAGCGACTTTTTCTCCTTTTCTCGAGGAATAGGATTTTGCACGAAGGAAGTGATTGTCGGATCCGGTGTAGAATTTTGAAACAACAGCGACATCGGGTAGGCAAAACCTATTTGCTATGATGTGGTTCATTTTGTTATGGTACTCCCCAGTGGGAGACTCCCGCGCCCAGCGTTGAGGGTGCGGCATCTGGAATTGCTAGCTACCAATGGATTGTTTTGGTCGCCATGATAAACTCGGACAGCCGCTCACCCTGTTCGTTTTATTCTAATCCGAGGGTCTCAATGTGACGTTCTTCAGACGTTTTTTTTTGGTGCACTCTCGGCGTTGAAATCTCCAATGATAACCTTGAAGAATGTCTTCTCTGTAGAACTTATCCAAGTCCAGAACGCTACGAGTTCTTCTTCGTCATAGTTTGACGTCGGCGCGTAAACGACCAAGATTGTAAAGCCTGAATTTGTCCGCATCTTTCTATTCGCAAACGTCCGATTCGGGTTGTAAGTTGCTCGAATGAATCGATGTTCATGGACAAACTCGTGTTGACGAGTACGCCGGCCCAACAGTTTTTCTCCGGCGTCGTAGACGGCGTTGAATGGGTAGCGTCGTCTCGTCTCAGCCAGGCGGGTGACATCGTACCTTAACCTTCTTGCTTGCATAGGCAAGTCCTTTACCGAGGACTCGGATGCAAGTGTACGTGCATTGTAGGTACAGATCGTCACCATAGTTCTTTGCAATCCAGGCAACTTCCATTGGCCGTGAGATTTTAGCAGCCCCTCCGTACTCGTGCTGCCCAAGACTGCCGAATTGGGAGCTCTTTCGAGGTCAGGGAATCAGGCCCGTTTCTTTTACTGTTTTTAGCATTTTGCTAAAGCTTGCGATAAAAAAGAAATATAAATATAGAGGAAAAAGCGCGATTGATGTAAACTTTAGTGCCACGGTGCCGGTGTGTAGCTTTGCTGCTAGTAGGTTTTTACGGTTTTTCTAATGACTTCCTTGCAAGAAAATTTTTTAGAACGATGACGTTTGGAGCGATTTTGGCATTCTCAAGCCACCAGCCTACAGAACGCACAATATCAAAGGCTATCAGACTTACGAAATTATGAAGTAAGACCATACGTCCTAGAACTTCCCCATACGTCATTTATAAAAAGACTTTGTTGCAAACCAATTTCTCTATGACCTATGAAGAAATTTTTCACAGGAAGTGCACGAAATCCGGCCGGCTTATTTGGAATTTCTTCATCAGTGGTGATGTGGAATTTGAAATCGTGCGGCGAGAAGCCGGAAAAGAGCAACAAATTTGGCCAAAGGTCACACTGACTAGTTTAAAGGTGTCGTAAAGAGTGAAAAATTAGCATGAGTATGGGTTTTTTCTTGAATATAAAATGCTGTTTTCAGTTGCCCGAGTACGGTAGTGTCATTGTTTATCCTGGAGAATATGTGGTGCGATTCCGTAACCCGTGCACGACTTGGTTTCCAGTAAAAGTCACCGGAGCTGCAGATTTCAAACTAGAATAAGCTTATGATCAAGCCATAGAAAGTATACGTATTAACTTCTTTATTTGATGGATTTCATCGAATCCAAATATCCATATTCTTCGAATGTTTGTGCTTCAAAACAAATTCGACCGTAGGTTAACATTAACAACAGTTTCAAAAATTGTCTGCTATGAAAGTCCACCAGCTCCTTTTAGAAATTCTCAATAACCTTTTAAAATGTGGATTGAAACCAGAGTTACTTGTAAATTTAAGGCCGCTTTTCTTTTTCGGGCTTAAATGTTCTAAGAATTTTATTACGAGGTGTTTTTAAATTGCCCACAGGTGGTTAAACGCATGTAAGAAATGCGAGCAGGAAGGTTTACCCTCTAAATTCGATTACTATCTTTTTGTCTAAGAAACCTAAATTTATTTCCATGTTTTAAAATTTTTTGGAATGAGGAAAGAGAAGAATTGTTGAAAATTGGACAACTCGCATGAATCACCTCCAGCAGAGAAATTCGTCCAGAATGTGGCCAGAGTTTTTCTACTTGGGCGAGCTCTTCTGGATGATTCCTAATAGCAGATTTTTATGTGTGAATGCTTTATTCTTCTTCTTGTTTCTTCTCAGCAAAATCGGATTTATGAAAGCTGTTCTGAGTCTTCAGCAGGGATTGAGCCCAATACATTTACAGAAATTTCGATCCTTCTTGATTTCCGATGCAACAGGTGATTTAGTCTGCTTAAGTAATTAATCAGAACAAGTGTGCGACCTATTTTAAAATATGTTTAGCGTTTTTTCTATTTCTGTTTAGCAAACACGAGGTGTTATTTTATTCCTTCGTTTACGTACAAGCTGACGTTTCCGCGCATTTCGCCTTCCTCATAGCCTGGGAAGATCAAGTTGACTGCAATCTACCCGGCCAAACACTTCCATAACCAAGCAGAGAAAACGCTCAATCAAGATTTCAATCACACTGAGCACGGGTAGATTCTTTGCACACTCACCGCTTTCTATGAGTTTTCCACTGAATATGTCACGTGGAGACCAACCGCACAGAATTCACATGGAATCGTAATATGCACATCTAATATAAATAAAATAACAGGCATATTTACTGCCCAATATCACGCGTGATTAAGAGGCATTCCTCCATGCCGTTCATTTTCGGATTCTTGGAATTAATCCAAAATTCCTCGAGACCATTGCGCGCTTGTGTTCTCGCTTCCTACGCGAGGATCGTAGCTCCTACTTCGAAATCTTCTCCATTTTGTCTCTGCCTGCCTAGTGGAGTATTTGGTACGTGGAATCGATCCCCGCGCTCGTAGCCCAACAAGCTTTCTATCCCTCCGGGGTGGGAAAATTGGTACCAGATTTGTTTGGGAGGATAATAGCACTGGATCTACGTCGGTAGGCAACCGCTAGTCATTGTAAAGATCAGATATGCATTCATTCACCACCAACGATGCTTAATGAAGTCGAATGCATGGCGCATTCCTTAGTGATTGATCAACGCCGAAAGCTTTGTCCTTTATTGTTTTTTATCGACCACCATATAATCGTTCCTTTTTTAAAAAGCCACAACGAGATCGAGGAGTGGATCATTTTTGAAACGTGAAAGGAAGCACTGAATAAATCTGATGGTAACGATCTCATTGCTCACATTTCACTCACGCAGCATCCATTGCTCAAGTTTTTACTTGTTGCGTGAGGTGTTCTAATTCGTTTTTGTTCCGAAACTGCTGTTTTACCCACGCCTTGTTTAGCCACTCACTGTCGAACCGTTCCTTGTTTATCTGCTTGAAATAACGGTAAGTATTGGTGCTAGCGGCTTTTCGGCGCCTCTCTTTCTCTGAAGCCATTCACTCTCATGTTCGTTAACAGTACTTACTTACTTGGATACTTGGACGGCCCGTCTTCACGAGCTGTGCGGACCCTAACGCATATTCCAATTGTTCTCTTCTCTTGCAATCGTAGTCCATGGTGGTGGTCTTGTTCGAGCATGGTCGCGCTTGCGAGTCTCACACCGTGATCTGTAAAACAACGATAGTTACGGAGATTCCTTCGGTCTCTTTTCTTGGGCAGGATGACCGTGCTCGACGTCCTCCACTGGTCTGGGATTTTTTTTTCTTTTAAAGGCAGTCTGTCACATAATCTGCGAAAACTACATGTAAATTGTGGCCTCCAGGTGTAAGGAAATCGGTAGTGATATTATCGGATCCTGGAGCTGTGCCTCTTTTCATGCTTTCTATCTCAAGCGGTTTTTCTCCGGCGAGGATATTAGAGCCCGAGACGGGGATTGTCGGACGGAAAAGCTTGGTGTAGAACGTTTCCGCTATTAATTCCATCTCATAGCGGGAAGTTTTGACGATCCCATCTTCTTAACTCTTTTATTTACTGCCTTTTTCTTTTTAATGGCAGAGTATGTGGTGAAATATAACTCGTATGAAGTGCTGAGATATCTGCAAAACTCTGCAAGATCGATAGAACTAGCTGAGATACATGCAAAGCGAAGGACCCGGATGGTGTAGTGGTGAAGTGCGCTACTCCCCGGTAAGGACAACAGCGCGTGTTCGTTCTCCACTGCATACACCTGTGGTCCGGAGTTTTGCAGATATCTCAGCACTTCATACGAGTTATATTTCACAACATACCCAGCCATTAAGAAGAAAAAGGCAGTAAATGAAAGAGTTAAGATCCCATCTTCGTTCATCAGCGCTGACAGCGGAACACTATAATCGCACAAGTCCTGACGGCATTTTTTCAGACTGCTTCTTTTCTCTGCTGCTTCCAGTATTTTCTTCTGCTGCTGGTACCGTTGTAGATCTTCCTGCAAAGCTCTTCTGCAGCTGGCGTTTATTACTACCCATGTTAAACGCGTTGCAGTAGGATCAAGCTTCATTTTCGTTCTTTTTTCGAGCAACTCCTTAGTAGTGATGGAGATACGATCTGATCTTCTTGCTTGAGAAACTGAGACGAATTCGGCACAACTTTTCAGTCCTTCGATAAGCAGCTCGGAGTCTTCGGTCGGGTTTTCTTTAATCTTCCAGTCATGTTTGGACAGGACTTCGTTCAGAATGTTTTCGTCGTATACAGCTAGACTTGTTCCTAGTGGTAGTTGAAGAGGATTCTTTTCCAGCTTGGGGCAGAATTGAATCTTCGCGCGAAGAAGGCGGTGATCGGAACCAGTACAGAATGACAAGACTACCAATGCCTCAATTAGGCACCGTCTTCTGTTTGTCAGAATATGGTCGTTCTCCTCAAGAGTCATGCGTTGAGAGACTCCCATGTCCAGCGGCGGCTTTCTTTCTTCTGGAAAAACGAGTTCTCAAGGAAGAGATATGCTGATGACAGGAGCCTAGCGAGATGGTTCCCATTCTCATTCCTTTCTCCTAATCCAAAATTTCTAATCCTGTATTCGCTCTCGTTGGCCTTTCCTATTCTGGCATTGGCGTCTCCAACAACAAATTTATGATATGCTTTGTTATTGCAGATGGCTTCTTTCAACTGATAGTAGAACGCATTTAATTCCTTCTCATCAGTTGCGTCGGTCGGTGAGTAGCAGTTTGATGATAGTGATCTTTTTATGATGCGGCAGTTGAAGACGGAGGACGGCTATGCGAAGGAAAAGGATCATGTATGACTCTACGAGATGGACAATGGACGGGTGGACGAAAAAGCCTACGCCACCGACATTTCGTAACGGGACCTTTTCTCCATGGATCACAAGGGTCCCATTGTTTAGTTGGTGCATGTCGGTCTTTTTGATTTTTGCTTCTTGTAATGCGATCACATAAAATTTAATGCGATTTGCGGCTACAAAGAAGGCGTGAAGATCGGCGTCTGTAGGGAGCGTTCTGGAATTATATGTGCATAGTATGAAACAATCTCCATGACACGTCGTGCGTGTGTTCGTCAGATCCGGTTCCAATGACGTCCTGCGCAACTAGAGATTTTCTGGCCTCTCACCGGTCCTCTCATCGCCTGATGTCATAGACGGGAGCATCCAGTGTGCGGGATACTGAGGCTGGCCTATTGCTGCTCGTGCAACTTGGTCCTCCCTGGAGTCCTGACGTAACCTTTCAAGGGCGTTTCCAGGTCTTCACCACGATGTGGATCAGGGGGAGGTGTGTTTTCGGCGACGAATCCTTCGCTCGGTCTTCCTACTTACTAGTTGATTCAAAAAGATGTTAAAACCGAAATCAGAAGCTAAAGTACGAATGAAAAGGTAGCCGACCGCTCTAGGGCGATGTAGAAGCCGAATCCGTTCGTTAACAGTTCACTGATTAAATGCGAGGGTTATATAACAAGACATTTCCGTGGCTTTCTATACAAGGTTTAATTTTCGCGGAGGCATTACTCAAATCTTCGCGCTCTTCAATTCTATTTCAAAAGGATAACTGCGTTGATCAATCTTGAGGGATACGCCATGTATTCGACTTCATTAAGTATCGTTTGGAGGTGATTGAATGCATATCTGGCCTTTACAAAGACTCGCGGTGACCTACCGATGTATCGAGCCAGTGATGCTATCCTCCCAGACAAGTCTACTAGCAATTTGCCGACCCAGGAGGCATGGAAGGCTTATTGGGCCATGGACGTGGAGATCGATTCTACATGTCGTTCGCAGTGGCGCCTCGAACCACTGCGCCACACGTGCTAATGAAAGCATAAGGAATTGTCCAGTGGATTTACAGTGTGTGAAATGTTATCAAACAAATACTACTTATATGAAGAGGTAGCGCAACAGTTGAAACCTTTGTCGTTGTTTTCTTGGAAAGAGACGAGGTTGCTTTTACCCTATTTATTCACGATAGCTGCTTCGGCGGTTTCACCTTAAGAACCTGGAAAAGTCAAATTGACACGCAATCTGCTCAGTCAAATAGTTTCACAGCCCATCCAGCCCTTACTTACCCTTGCTGTATATCACATCCTCACACTTAGTAACACATTCCAGCCACGATGACGCGGTAAACCGATGGGAGGCAAAAGAAGATTCAGTACACAAATTTCATTCGCATACTAAACAGCTGGCTTAAAG